GAATGAGGATTTTGGGATCCCAGAGGGTCTGGAATGGATTTGGAGGTGTTGGAGGAGAATCTGAACATCCCATGTGGATCCTGAGCTCTTTGGGATCCCAAGATTTTTGGGATAATTTGGGATCTCAAGTTATTTGGGATATTTGGGATCCCAAGATTTTTGGGATAATTTGGGATTTCCGAGTTCTTTGGGATATTTGGGATCTCGTATTCTTTGGGATATTTGGGATCCTGAATTCTTTGGGATAATTTGGGATCTTGAATTCTTTGGGATATTTGGGATTCCCGAGTTCTTTGGGATATTTAGGATTCCCGAGTTCTTCTTTGGGATCCCAAGATTTTCGGGATAATTTGGGATTCCCGAGTTCTTTGGGATATTTGGAATCCTGATTTTTTGGGATAATTTGGGATCCTGAGTTCTTTGGGATATTTGGGATTCCCGGGTTCTTTGGGATATTTGGAATACTGATTTTTTGGGATAATTTGGGATCCTGAGTTCTTTGGGATCCCGAGTTTTTGGGATAAGGTGGCCCAGAGGATTTGGTGCTCTCCAGCCCCTCCCCCTGCACGCGCAGCCTCTGGAATATTCCGGATGCCGCTCCCAGGGCAATTCCCGTTCCGGGAGGGTTTGGAATCCCTGCGGATCCCTTGGGAACGCTTAGACTCCATCTCCCAGTTTTTTCCAACCTCAAGAATTCCAGGATTCCGGAATTCCTTTCCCGTCACCGGTGGAGACAAAACCTTGGAAAATCACAATTCCATCGTTTTCCTTCTCCTGGAATCCCACCTCTCTCTTTCCCACCGGGATTTTTCCAGGGGAGGGTTAATTCCATAACAAAATCACCGGGATCGGATTTTCCCGCCACTCCTCCATCTCCACGGCAACGGACATGGAGATTTTTCCGGAATTTTCATCCGTTCAAAAAGGATTCAGAACTCCTTTGGATCCCAAATCCCATCCCGGGCTCCTTTTGCTCTCCCGGAATTCCGGCCGGATTCGCCCTTTTTGCCGGAGCTTTGGGATGGGATCCGTGGAAACGAGGAGTGACCCGGAGCCTCTTTGGGATGGGGATTCCCGTTGGGAATTCCCGGTTTATTCCATGGAACGCTTTGTTGGGAAGGACCTTTGGGGTCGTCCCGTTCCTGGGAATTCCGAGCGGCTCTTTGGTTTGGAACGGAGAATTCCCGCTTTTCCAGGGATGGAAAGCTGAGAGTGGGAAGAGAAAAGGCAGGAAAAGGCAAAAAAGGCGGGAAAAAAAAGGGTGGGAAAGGGAAAAAAAGGTGGGAAAAGGAAAGAAAGGTGGGGAAAAAAGGGTGGGAAAAAAGAAAAAAGGTGGGAAAAAAAGGGCTGGAAAGGAGAAAAGGCGGGAAAAGGAAAAAAAGGCAGGAAAAAAGGGCGGGAAAGGAAAAAAAGGAAAAAAAAGGGGGGGAAAGAGAAAAAAAGGTGGGGAAGATAAAGGCTGGGAAAAGAAAAAAGGCCAGAAAAAAAAGGTGGGAGAAGGAAAAAAAATGGGAGAAAAAAGGGTGGGAAAAGGAAAAAAAGGTGGGAAAAAAAGGTGGGAAAAGGGAAAAAGGCGAGAAAGGAAAAAAAAGGGGAAAAAAGAAAAAAAGGTGGGACAAAAAGGGCGGGAAAGGAAAAAAAGGAAAAAAAAGGGCGGGAAAGAGGAAAAAGGGGAAAATAAAGGCTGGGAAAAGAAAAAAGGTGGGGAAAAAAAAGGTGGGAGAAGGAAAAAAAAAGCAGGAAAAAAAAGGGTAGAAAAGGAAAAGAAACGGGAAAAAAAGGGTGGGAAAAGGAAAAAAAAGGCAGGAAAAATGGGTGGGTAAAGCAAAAAAAGGTAGGAAAAAAAAGGGTGGGAAAAGGAAAAAAAGGTGGGAATAAAAGCAGGAAAAGAAAGGTGGGAAGAAAAGTACAGGAATAAAAAAAAGGCTGGAAAGAAATTTTTCCAATTGGGTGGATCCAGTGGATTCCAGAGGGATGAGGATGGACACTGGAGCTCCTGGAAAAAAAACTTGGATGCAGAGGGAGACTTTTCCTGCTGGAGGATTCTGGGAGAGCTCCCAACCCTCAGGGGAGAAATTTGGGAATTTTGTTGGGATGTGGAAAAAGTTTGGATGGAAATTCCCGCCTTAGGAAAGCGAGGAGAATCCCAAAATCCCGGATTTCTTTTGGGAAAGGGCCTTGAAAGCTTATCCAATTCCATGGATGGGGAATCCAGAACATTCCAGGCCTGAAATCCATCGGGAAGCAAAGCAAACCCGGAATTCCGGGTTTTAAAGGGAATAAAGGCTGGATATTCCAGGAGGATGGTGAAAATTCCAGCAGTTTTCCTGGAGGTGCTCGAGATCCTTGGGAAGCTTTTCCTGCTTTTTTTAGGACCTGTGAAAGGCTTTTCCCAACTTTTATACCTTCCCTTTATTCCTGGTCGGTTCCGTTCCCGTTATTTCCCAGAAATCCAGGGAATGCGAACGATCCCGAGCTTCAGATCTCCGGGAAGCATTCCAAGGACAGCGGATTTTCACCGGCAAAAAATTCCTCGGAAATCCAGGACTTCCTAAAAATCCGTGAGAAGCTGAAAGAAGGAAAATCTCTCGGAAATATCCCAATTTTCCCAGTTTTTTACATCCCTTCCATTCAGGAATTCTGCTTTTCTTGGAGTTTTCCCGTCACTCCGGTGGCTCAGGGGTGGAATTTTGGGTTATTCCTGCTGAAAACAACGGGAATGTTCCTGGATTGTGTCCTGCCTGTGGAAAAATCCAGGTTTTTTTGGGATTCTCTTGGAGCTGGAGGCACCAAAAACCGGGAAAAAAGGGAATTTCTTCCGTCTGCTCCCAGAATTTCCGGATCAGATTCCTGCAAGGAAAATCCTTCAGGTGGAAAAAGGAGCAGGAGAGGGGAAGAAATCCATGGATTGAGGAGATTCCCGATGGGAAATTCCATGGAAAAATGGGAAACTGCTCCAGGAGGCTCCTCTGTGGGCAGGGCTGGGATTCCCGAGGGAATCCAGCAGAGGTTGATTCCCACAAAGCTTTTTGTGGGAATGTTTTCCAGGATTATCCAGAGAATGGAAGCGAAAAGCTGGGAATTCAGGAATTCCTGCTTTGGGATTCCCGCTTTTCCTTTCATCCCATGGAACGTGGGGAATGAGGGACTTTTCCCATCATTAGGGACAAGATTTGGGATTTCCCTTTGGGCACATCCCGGATTTCCAGCTTTTCCCCTTTTCCCCGTGCTGTGAAAATCTGGGATTTGATGGCTCAAAATTCCGCTCCAAGGGAATTTCCCAGGAAAATTCCTTGGAATTTCCTCTCCTTTTAAGATCCGTGGGGCTGCTGCTGACATTCCCAAAGGATCTCTCCCACCAAATCCAGCTGGGATCGCCGGGGGAATTCCAGGCTCACGTTCCCTCATCCAAGAACATTCCACATCTCCTTCTCCTGCTTTTTTATCCCCAAATCCACGAAAAGCTGGATCCTTCCCGTGTTTTTGTGGGAAGGAAAAGTCTCCCGCGGCTCCGGAGCGTTCCCCGCCTCGTTCCTCCAGCCGGAAAAATCCCTTTGGCTTCATCCCAACCTTTTGTTCCCGCCTGGATTCGCTCCAGAGCCACATCCTCGCTCCTCCACGGAGGCCGGAGCGGGAGCGGCTCCTTCCCGCAGGATTTTCCTGCTTTTCCGCCCTTTCCCGGCTTTCCCGAAGGCCCGGACGATCCCGAGCTTTGCCTCGTCCTCGCTATTCCCGGATTTTTTTTTTCCCGCTGGGATTTGTTTTGTCGGAGCCTTGGGAAAGGCGTTGCTGTGGAAATGGAGCCCGGGGAAGTTTTTCCAGCCGGGAGGCTCCGAAGGATCCGTTCCTTTTTTTGGGAAGTCGGAAAGGGCCGGAGCACTAGGAATGTTTTACCTCGGGAAATGTTCCTGGAGGTTCTTCCCAACAATTCCAACCCGGGAATGTTGATTTGTAGATGGGATTGGGATGGATTGGGATCCCAGGGATGCTCAGGGCAAGAAGGAAGTGAATCCAGAGGATCCCATGGAGCTGCTCCAGGGCTGGAGCCCCTCTGCTCTGGGAAAACCGGGAATGTCCACCTGGAAAAGAGACGGATCCAGGGAGAGCTTGGAGCCACTTCCGGGGCCTGAAGTGGCTCCAGGAGAGCTGGGGGAGGGATTTGGGATCGGGGATGGAGGGATGGGACACAGGGAATGGCTCCCACTGGATGGATGGGATATTGGGAATTCCTGGATGGGAGGATCCCGAGTTCTTTGGGATATTTGGCATCCCAAATTCTTGGGGATAATTGGGATCCTGAGTTCTCTGGGATACTTGGGATCCTGATTTTTTGGGATATTTGGATATTTGGAATTCCTGGAGCTGCCCCTGGATCCCTGGCAGTGCCCAAGGCCAGGCTGGAGCAGCCTGGGACAGCAGGAATTTCCTGCCATGGAATGGGATGATCCTTAGGATCCCTCCCAATCCAGGCCTTCTGTGCCCATGGGCTCAGGAAACGTTGGGAATTCAGCCGTGGGAATTCAGGAGCGCTGCCATCTCCTCCCCCCCGGATCTGTGGGAATAAAACTTGGGTTAGATGGAGCTGAGCCCATCCCTGCTGCCATTCCTGGGAAATTCCCTTCTCCCTTCCCTTCCCTTCCCTCTTCCCAGTTTTTATGGAATTTACAGAGTAGGGAATTCCTGGGATTATCCCAAAGTTTTAATGGACTTAGAGCAGGGAATGGAATTGGGATTTTAGGGATGGTCACTGTCAGTTTTCCCTCGGAAAAGCGGGAATATTTCCCTCCTCGGAGCAGGAGCAGAACATTCCGGAAATGTCTGTTTAACCTGGAATGTGGAACGGAGCTTGGGAGAGGAGGAATCCAGGGATTGAAAACATTCCCGGGGCTGGGAATCCGGGAATGCCGGGATCCCGGAGTTGGGATGGGAGCCAGGGAATGGCCGGAGGGAGGTGGTGTGGAATTCCCAAGGAATTCCATGGATCCCTGGAAGTGTCTGAGGGCAGCTCAGGCTGGTGGGAATTCCCTGCCCATGGAATGGGATCGTCCTTCCCAATCCAAGCCTTTGGTGCCTGTAGGAAAAGTTGGGAATTCGGCTCTGGGAATGGAGAGGGCTCAAATCTCCTTATTCCTGATTTTCCAGGGAAATAAAAGTCGGGATAAGCGGAGCTGGCTGTGTCCATCCCTGGGAAATGCGGAGCTGCTCCTGCTCCTGCAGGAATTCCACCGCTTTTCCCGGGATCTGCCGCTGCCAACGGAGCCTCTTTCCCTATCCCAAGGGAATTTTGCTCCAAGCTTTTCCCAGAGCCGGAATTCCTTCCTCGTTTTCCATCCCAAATGATAAATTAAGGAATAAAAGAATCCCGCTCAGAGAATTCCCGAATTTTTGCCGCTTCTCATCCCTCATTCCCAAATCCTTTCCTATCCCTTCTCTTCCTACAATTCCCGAGGATTTCCCAATCCCAGAGGACTCTTCGCTCTCCCGGTTTTTCCGGAGAAATCTGACGGATTCTCCCGGTTTTTCTGCAGAACAAGGAGAGCGCGGAGCCGGAATCCAAAATTCCCAGGGAAGATGAGGAAGAGGAGCCGGTCAAGCACAGGTAATTCCTTCTTCCTTCCCGCTTTTCCCTTGGAATCTTTCCCGGGAGGATTTTCCCTCGACTCTCTGCCTTGGAGGAAGAATTCCAGGAGCGTTTCCAAAGGAATGTCGGGAGATTCCCTGAATTCCTGGCTGTTTCCACACGGATTGGGATTTTTCCATGGATTCCTGTGGGAGTTTTCCTCAAAAACAGGAGCGCGATCCCAGCCCAGATCCGGCCGATTCCAAAGGCGTTTTTCCCGCTGGGAAAATCCCAGCAGGGATTTTTTTTTTTCGGGATCACAAATTTAGGTGGAAAACCTGGAACGCGGCCGATTCCCATGGATTCATCCCTAAAAAAACTCCATGTAAAAAACGAACCCAGGAAAAAAAAAGAGGAAAATCCTCTTTTTTTTTGGGAATGACTCCTTGGAAAAAGCAAATTCTGGTGGAGAAAATCCCAGATTTTGGGGATTTGGAAGCGCCAGATTTCTTGGGAATTTTCCGCACTTGGAATCGGTGCCGGAGGCGAAAGTGGAGCTCGGGATCTCGGGAATCTCCCAGATAATCAACGGATCCAGAGCTGATGGAATCCTCGGAATCCCAAAAAACCTCCTGCTTTGGGCTGGTGTTATCCTAGGAATTGCTGCTGGAAGGATCCGGGGAATTCCCGGAATTTCATTCCTGGAGTTTCTTTCATTCCCAGTTTTCCATTCCCGGTGTTCGGCAGCATCCGGAACTGAGTATTTTCCATGGATTTTGCTCCATCCGTTGGCAGATCCCGCCAAAATCCTTCCCCTGCCTCGGGATGATTTCCTGGAAAATCCAAGGAAGTTGCAGGTGGAGAGGGAAAATTCCATCCCGGTTTTCTCCTCAAATTCATGGAATTCTTTGGGATTCCCCCCGTTCAAAACAGGGGAAACTTCGCTTCCCGATGGATTTTCCTGGTTTTCCACCTTTCCCATCTCAGCCTGTTTGGTTTGGAATCCAGAGGGAATTTCCCAAAGCAAATTCCAGCAAAATCTGCTCCATGGGAACGTTTGAATCCCAAATTTTGCTGGGATAATTCCCGATTTTTGACTTGCTCCGGCCGCTTTTCCCGTGGGAATTGGATCTGGAAGAGCCCATTCCTTGATTTCCTCTTGGATCTGCATTTCCCAGGAATCTCCCTATGGAAAAGGAGATTGGGGAAAAGAGAAAAAATCTGCAGGAATTCCGCCTGGATTTGGGAAGTGAGGAGTCCTGGGGGATGGAATTTCCCTTCCCTCCAAGGGCTGGATTTTCCGGGAGGAAGGAATTCCGTGGGATAGGGAATGTGGTGGTCCCGGGCTTTGTGGAGAAAAATCCCGGGATTTTCTCTCCCGGTTCCTTCAGCTCCATCCCAGCCTTTCCTGGCATGGAATTCCAGCCTCAGGAGCTTCCCAGATCCCCGTGATCCCGAGGATTCTCTGGGATTCCCGGCTGATTCCAGGCTCTGCCCCCTCGGGAATGGCTGGAGAGGGAAAAATCCGGGAAGAAGGAGCTGGAGCTCCCTGCCGGGGCACGGAGTCGTTTTCCAAGGATTTCTTCCTGCTTTTCCCACTGGTTCTGGATGGATTTGAGGAATTCCCTCTCAGGCACTTGGGTTAACGGGAAATTCCATCGGATTCCAGCCCTGGAAGTGCCGGGAGCAGCCCGAGATTGTGGAATTGAGGGAAAACCCCTTCTGGAATTCTGGGATTCTCCCACCCCTTCTCCACATTTTCCCAGGGATCCCCTTGGGAAAGCTGGGGAAAATTCCTTGGGGAAGGCATTCCACAGAATCCCGGAATTCCTTGGATGGGAAAGAATCCGGGATGATCCCATTCCATGAGAGCAGCTCCCATCCAGCCTGGCCTTGGACACTTCCAGGGCTGGAGATTCCCAGTTTTCCTGGCTGCAGGAAGGACGGGATTCCCTGGACTCTGCTTTTCCCAAATTTTTTCCCGGCCCGTGCTCCCAATTTTTTTTGGCCACTTCCCGTTTTGTTCCGTCCTCCCCATCCCATTTTTCCATCCTCATTTTCCTGCAAATTCCCTGCTCTTCTCCCAGGAATTCCAGCTCCAATCCCTGATCCAAACTCTGGGAATTCTCCCTGGAGCTGTGAAAAGCTGGGATTTAGGTGTGGATCGGGAATCCGCTTTTCCCGGGAAAAGGCCGTGGATTGGGATTTTGGATTTCCGCCTCATTCCCAGCAGGATCAAACGCTGGATTTGGGAATCTGGGACCTGCCGGAGCCTGGAATTCCCATCCCGCAGCTCCCAGCCTTGGAATTGCGGCTCCCGGTGGCGGCGGAGCATCTCAGAGCCGGGAAAAGCGGAGCTGGAAATCCAAGGAAAAGCTTGGAGAGGAATGGGACAAAAAGAATCCGGGATTTTCCAAGGAAAAGCTTGGAGAGGGATGGGACAAAAAGAATCCGGGATTTTCCAGCTTTCCCAGGGAATCCGCAGCGAGCCCCGCCCTCGGAGACGGAATTTTCCTTGGAAGTTTCGGCTCCTGCTCTGGGGGAGGAGCGGGGGTTGGGAAAGCCGATCTCCCTCTGGAATTGCTCCCTCTGGAATGTCACCGGGCAGGAAATGTTTCCAGCCTGGAAATCCCTCGGGATTCGGCTCCAGAGGGGGTTGGGCTCGCCAGGAGAATCCGGGATGGGATTCCCTTCATCCCGGAGCCTGGGAATGTCAGGGAAGGGCTTTGGGACAGGGAAAAGAGGGGGGAAAAAAATTAATCAGGAATAAAAGTGGGAATTCCCGGGATCTGCTCCCGCTGGGACGCGGACGTGGAGCGTCCCAGGGATCTCTTCCCATCGGGAATGTGCTCAGGAAGAGGAGGAAGGGGGGGAATGGGAACGGGAATGGGAATGGGAACGGGAACGGGAATGGGAACGGGAATGGGAATGGGAACGGGAACGGGAATGGGAATGGGAACGGGAATGGGAACGGGAATGGGAATGGGAATGGGAACAGGAATGGGAATGGAAAAGGGAACGGGAATGGGAATGGAAACGGGAACGGGAATGGGAACAGGAATGGGAATGGGAACAGGAATGGGAATGGGAACTGGAATGGGAATGGGAATGGGAATGGGAACGGGAATGGGAATGGAAAAGGGAATGGGAATGGGCAAAGTCCAGAGCTGCCACTTTTTGCTCCAAGCTGGAAAAGGGAAAACAGGGATCGAATCCATCTGGAATCTGAGAGCACTGGGATCCAGGCTGGGAAAATTCCTGAAGGTTCCGATCCATGGTTTGGGATCTCCTCCCTCTGGATTTTCCCTCAGGATGGAACCAATCCTGTGATCCCGAGCCCGGCTGGATCCTCCTGGGGAGGCTTTGGATGATCCTGGATTTTCCCTGGGATCGGGATGAGCCTCCTTCCAGTTCCTTTTCTGGGAATCCTTCCTGGGAATTCATCCCCCCCCAACGGGGTTTTGGGCATGGAATTTCGGGATTTCCAGCTGCCATTCCTGCGGGAGAATTCCTGGGAATGGGAATTCCTGCTCCCGACCCTGGGGCCAGCTCTGCGCTGGGATTGTGGATCCTGGAATTCCAGCGGTTTTCCCGGCTGTTATCCCGTGTTCCCGAGGTGCCTCCAGGGCTCCTTTGGCTTGAACCTCAAGGCTGGAATTTGGGTTTGGATCCATCCCAGCCTGGAGGAGCCGCAGGAAAACACGGATGAGGTTTGGCATTCCCAGGGTTTGGAATGTGGGCTATGTCCCAATTTTACTCGTGGAAATTCCCAGAGTTTGGAATTCCCAATTTCCAGCACCTGGAAAAGCTCAATCCTGATGGATTTGGGATCTTTTCCAGCTCTCCCGGAACACCTGGATGGCTCCAGCAGGGAGCAGGGCCTGGAAAAGCTCCTGGCCTGGCAGGATTGGTGCGGAGAGAGGTGGGAATTTCCGGGATTCCTTCCTTCCGGAGCCGCTCCGGGAGCAGGAGCAGCTTTTCCAGGGAAAAGCTTTTCCTCCAGATTCTCCTGGATCCGCCTCTTCCTCCTTTGGCGCCTTGCGTGAGGAATCCGGGAATGTCGGCAGCGCCTGCTGGAATCCAGAGGATCCCACGGAGCTGCTCCAGGGCTGGAGCCCCTCTGCTCCTGGAAAACCGGGAATGTTCACCTGGAAAAGAGATGGATCCAGGGAGAGCTCGGAGCCACTTCTGGGGCCTGAAGGGGCTCCGGGAGAGCTGGAGAGGGATTTGGGATGGAGGGACAGGATGCAGGGAATGGCTCCCGATGGATGGATGGGATATTGGGAAGGAATTCCTGACTGGGATGGAATTCCCAGAGCAGCTGTGGCTGCCCCTGGATCCCTGGAAGTGCCCAAGGCCAGGCTGGATGGGGCTGGGATAACGGGAATTCCCTGCCGTGGCAGGGCTGGGAATGGGATCATCCCAGAGATCCCCTCCAACCCAGCCCATTCCTGGATAATTCCATGATAATTCCATGATCTCCATCCGTTTTTCCCGCTGTTCCTGGAGGTGAAATCCTCATCCTCAGGGATTGGGATTGGGAAGCCGCTCCCAGAGCAGCTCCAAAAATCCAACCTTGGAATATCAACAGGAGCAAGGGAGAGATCCCCATTCCAGCTTTTCACGGCAGAGCCATTCCCGGTGCTCCCTCAAGGCTTGGAAAAATCCATGGAATTGTTTGTTCCATAAAGCCCTTTGGGGCTGGAACAGCAGCTGAGCTCGGAGGGGCCCGGTTTCCATCGGGAACGCTCCGGGCATTCCGCACATTCCCGGAGTGCCGGTGCCAGGGGCCTCATCCCCAAAAAAAGCCGGAATCCCTCTGCTTCCCAGCCAGGAGCTCTGGGCCGGAGGGAAACCTGGATTTGGGAATGGGCCACCCCTGGCAGCGCTTCCCCCTGGAATTCTGCGCTTCCCAAATCCTCCCAGTTCCTTCTTGGGAAGGAATTCCCGGCTGGGAGGATGGGGAAGGGCTGGGATGGAATTCCCAGAGAATTCCTGTGGCTGCCCCTGGATCCCTGGAAGTGCTCGAGGAGCAGCCTGGGATCGTGGGAGCTGTCCCTGATCCCAAGGAATTCCCTCACTGACCCCAGCGAGATCCTGGGACAATTCCTGGCATTCCCATATTCCCGTGGAGCGGCTCAGCCCCTTGGCCAGGAATTCCCGTGCCAGAGCGGGAATGGGATTCAACGGGAAAGGTTGGAATTTCCACCCTCACTCCAGTGACTTCCAAGGTTGGATTTTTGATGTTTTCCATAAAATCCCGCTCCTCTGCTTCCCGAGCTTCTCTTGATCCCGATGAATCCCGTCCTCGGCCGTTCCCGAGCTTCACCTCCCTCGTTATCCCTGCGGATGTTCCAAGGATCCGCGGCCTCCTGGGAATGAGGAATTACAGCCCAAATTAAACGGGAATTTCATGGAATTGTGGCTCAATCTGGACTCCTGAGCTTCCCTGGAGGAGAGGAAAACATGGAAAAACTTCCAGGTGGACCTCAGCTCCACCATCCATTTATTCCAGCACTGGGATTTGCTCCCTGATTTTGGCATTCCCAGGAACGCTGGGAAAACCACCCTGCATCCCAAATAATCCCTTTTTCCCCTCCCATCTTTCCCTGAGTTTTTTCCATGATTTTGGATCTTCCCTGGGGTTTCCATCTTGAGTATTCCAGTTTTTAGAGCCGGCTGGTTGGAATATTGGGAATATTCCTCATGGAATGTGGAATGGGAATCCCCATTCCCGGTGGGATTTCAAAGCCGTGGACGCGGCACTCGGGGCCACGGATCACCGGATTTGATCATCTTGGAGGCTTTTCCAACCTCAACAATTCCAGGATTTCAGCTGCCTCTGGCTCCTGATTCCAACATTCCTGCTTTTCCTGAGCGCCCGCCGGGGCTTCCCGGATTTTTCTCATGGCTCTTCCCGCTTTTCCCAGGGAGATCAAGCTGCGGAATTACGATCCCGAGGATGAGGAGCTGAAGAAGAGGAAGCTGCCCCCGGCCAAACCGGCTTCAGGTGGGAAAAACCGGGAATGTGGGAAGGGAAACGAGGGCTTGGGCAGCTCCGTGCTCTTCCCAAGGTGGGAGATCCATCGGGATGAGGTGTCCACGGAGCCTGGAGGGGTTGGAATTGCCTGATCCTGCCACCCCCACACCCAGCGTTGCACAAGAAGGGTGGGAACAATCCCAGGCCCAAATCCAAGGATTCGTGCTCGGAGGAGCCTCCCTGGAGGAGCCTCCCGGAAATTCCGGCTGTTTTTTTGTTGGATTTATCTGGAAGGAAATCTCGGGCCGGAGCTGAGGGCGTTGGGGCTGGAATTTCCTCACCCGGAACTTCCATAAATCACCTGAGGGGGAAGGGAAGGAGTTTCCCTGGATCCTGAAATGTGGAGTTTTCCTGGGATAAATCCCTTGAAAAATGGATAAAAAGGGAGGGTTGGGAATGGCCGGGAATTCCGGCACTGCCCTTTCCTTGTGTTTTTATAGGATTAAAACTTCCATGTAAAGTAAAAACAGGAAAAGGCTGGAGCGTGTCCGGGGAAGGGAACGGAGCTGGGGAATTCCTGAGGGAGTTGGGAATGTTCTCCTGGAGCAAAGGAAGCTCAGGGGGAGCAACTCCCTGCCAGGAGCAGGGGGGGGATCGGGATCTGCTCCCAGGGATCGGGAATAACCAGGTGGGATATTGGGAATATTCCGGTTGTCCCACGGTGCTGGAGCCGCATTCCTGGAGGGATTGAAATCCCTGTGGATGTGGGGACGTGGCCTTGGCACCGCTGGGAATGTTTGGATTCAATCCCAGAGGGCTTTTCCAACTGGAATTGTCCTTGATTCCATGAAATCCATGGGCTGGGGCGGGATGTGCTCCCTGGTGCCGCAGCCCTTCCGTGGGCGGTTTTTTCCATGAGTTTTTTCCCATTATCCCGGATATTCCCGAAGCCTGAGCTGGAGCTGGACTCCTCCAAAGCATCCCAGGCCCGGAAATGAGTCCGGGAGAACAAAATTCCAGACCTCTGGAGCAGCTGATCCCTGCAGAAGTTGGGAAAAGAGGCCTTGATCCCAAGCGTCTTCCGGTTGTGGGATTTCCATCATTCCCAGAGAATTTTTAGGAGTCTCCAGCGGGGTTTGGAAGCGAAGGCGCCGTGGTTTTGGGTGAAGCTGCAGGAATGGGGTTTTAGGGAAGCGCCTGGGAGCCGAGCCCGGAGCTCCCGGTGGAATTCCCGGTTTTCCGACACTGATCCTGTTCCCCCATCTAGTGGAGGAGACGGTGAAGGAGCAGCTGGAAGCGGCCAAGCCGGAGCCCATCATCGATGAGGTGGTAGGTACAGCGGGAATTCCTGGGAATCCAGAGCTGGGAATTGGATCTGGGAATTGGATCTGGGAATCCAGAGCTGGAAACCTGGATGAGGAATTCCAGAGCTGGAAACCTGGAACAGGGAATCCAGAGCTGGAAATCTGGAACAGGGAATCCAGAGCTGGGAATCTGGATGTGGAATTACAGAGTAGGAAATCCGGATCTGGGAATCCAGAACTGGAAATATGATCTGTGAATCCAGAGCTGGGAATCTGGATGTGGAATTACAGAGCAGGAAATCTGTATGTGGGAATCCAGAGCTGGAAATCCGGATTGGGAATCTAGATCTGGGAATCTGAATGTGGAGTTCCAGAGCTGGAAACCTGGATCTGGGAATCCAGAGCTGGAAATCTGGATCTGGGAATGTAGAGCTGGGAATCTGATTGGGAATCCAGAACTGGAAATCCAGATTGGGAATCCGATCTGGAAATCCAGATCTGGAAATCTGGATATGGAATTCCAGAGCTGGAAATCTGGAGCCAGGAATCCAGATGTGGAAATCTGGATGTGGAATTCCAGAGCTGGAAACCTGGATTGGGAATCCAGAGTTGGAAATTTGATCTGGGAATCTGGAAATCTGTATGTGGGAATCCACAGCTGGAAATGTGGATGTGGGAATGCGGAGCTGGGAATGTGGATTGGGAATCCAGAGCTGGAAATCCAGATGTGGAAATCTGGATGTGGAATTCCAGAGCTGGAAATGTGGATCTGGGAATCTAGGTCTGGAAATTTGATCTGGGAATCCAGAGCTGGAAATCTGGAGCTGGGAATCCAGAGCTGGGAATCTGGGTTGGGAATCTGGATCTGGGAATGTAGAGCTGGGAATCTAGAGGTGGGAATCTGATTTGGAATCCAGATCTGGAAATCCAGATTGGGAATCCAGATCTGGAAATTGGATCTGGGAATCCAGAGCTGGGAATGTGGATTGGGAATGCGGAGCTGGGAATGGGGATGTGGGAATGCGGAGCTGGGAATGTTGATTGGGAATGCGGAGCTGCTCCGTGCCAGGCCCAGGCTGGAATGTTGCCTTTGGAATTCACTGGATGTCTCCTCCCCTTCCCTAGGACCTGGCGAATTTGGCTCCCAGGAAACCGGACTGGTGAGTGCCGACGGAATGCCGCTCCCGGGAAAAGGGTCTTGGAATCACTGGGGGGGCTCCAACGCCTCGAGGTCGTGTTGGGAATATCCAGGAGAAATGTGAGGGTTTAAAATGCCAGGAAAATCCTGTGGGAAGTCGGGATGAGCTGAGCTTTAAGGACCCTTCCAACCCTGAGCATTCCATGATTCCATGGAATTGGAAAACCTGGCTGTGGAGGGAGACAGAATTCCCTTTTCCAGCTGATTCTTTGGAATGCTTTTCACCAAGGGCTGGAAATCTGGATGTGGGAATCCAGAGCTGGAAATCTGGATGTGAAATTCCAGAGCTGGAAATCTGGATGTGGAATTCCAGAGCTGGAAATTTGGGTTGGGAATCTGGATCTGGGAATGTAGAGCTGGGAATCCAGAGCTGGAAATCTGGATGTGGGAATTCCAGAGCTGGAAATCTGGATGTGGAATTCCAGAGCTGGAATCTGGATGTGGGAATTCCAGAGTTGGAATCTGGATGTGGGAATTCCAGAGCTGGAATCTGGATGTGGGAATCCAGAGCTGGAAATCTGGATGTGGAATTCCAGAGCTGGAATCTGGATGTGGGAATTCCAGAGCTGGAATCTGGATGTGGGAATCCAGAGCTGGAAATCTGGATGTGGGAATCCAGAGCTGGAAATCTGGATGTGGGAATCCAGAGCTGGAAATCTGGATGTGAAATTCCAGAGCTGGAAATCTGGATGTGAAATTCCAGAGCTGGAAATTTGGGTTGGGAATCTGGATCTGGGAATGTAGAGCTGGGAATCCAGAGCTGGAAATCTGGATGTGGAATTCCAGAGCTGGAAATCTGGATGTGGGAATTCCAGAGCTGGAAATCTGGATGTGGAATTCCAGAGCTGGAATCTGGATGTGGGAATTCCAGAGCTGGAATCTGGATGTGGGAATCCAGAGCTGGAATCTGGATGTGGGAATCTGGATCTGAGAATGTAGAGATGGGAATCCAGAGGTGGAAATCTGGATGTGGAATTCCAGAGCTGGAAATCTTGATGTGGAATTCCTGGTGGGAAATCTGGATGTGGGAATCCCGTGCTGGAAATCCTGGGCTGGTTTTGGAATGGTGGCTCTTTGGAAAGAGAAGGAATTCCTGGTGGGAAAGCCGGGTCCTGCCTGGCCATGGAATTGTCCCGACCTCGTCGCTCTCCTCACAGGGATTTGAAGCGGGACGTGTCCAAGAAGCTGGAAAAGCTGGAGAAGAGGACGCAGCGAGCCATCGCGGAGCTGATCCGTGCGTTCCGGAGCCGCGGGAACGGGGGTGGCTCATTCCAGAGGGATCCCGGGATCCACGCTGGGAGCTCTGGGCCGGGGAGGTGGGGTTTGATCCTTGGGCACTTCCAGGGATCCAGGCGGGGTTTGATCCCTTCCCAAATGGATCTGGGAAGCCGTTGGTCCCAAGGAGGCTCCGGGAGCGCTCGGATCGTGGCAAGGGAAGGGTTCTGGGGTTCTTCCGGCTCGCTCCCGATCCAATCCAATCCAATCCATCCATCCCTTTTCCGTGGCTTTTCTCCCGGCAGGAGAGCGCCTGAAGGGGCAGGAGGAGGAGCTGGCCTCGGCCGTGGGATCCGCAAAGCAGGACGGGAGCGACTCCGACTGAGGAGAATCCATCGGGAACGGGATCCGGATCTGCCTCGCGCTGGCCCCGTGGCCCTCCCCGCTCATCCCTCTTCCCAAAATTCCCCAATCCTGGGATCGTGGGGGGTTGATGGGAGCGGGACAGACCCTCCCCAGTTCGCTGGAACTTCCTTTGAACAAGGAAAAGTGGGAAAACTCCAGGCTGGGGTTGGAAAAGTCAATCCAGACTTGCTGGGAAAGGAGGGAGATTCCAACAGCCCTTGGAAAATCAGGATCATTTCCCAGGGATTGGTTCCTGTGCAGAGACTCCTCGAGGTTCTGAGGGTTCGGGAATATCCACGGCCAGCCCTGGAATTCCCATGGGAAGGCTCGGGAATCATTGGCTGCTCCGCATCTGGCTGAGTTCCGTGTGGGATTTGCTTGGCTCCCGGAATTTCCCGACGCTCCGGGAGCGTTTCCCGCTCCTCCTTTTGGGGTTTTTTTATGGTTAATGGATCTTTTCCTAATAAAACAGTTCCGTGTGGAAAATCTTGTCCCTTGTCCTGCAGAGGAGCAGGAAGAGGAGCAGTGGGATGGAGTCCATGGAAGTTGGGGTGGGATTGAATCCATGGAAGTTGGGGTGGGATTGAATCCATGGAAGTTGGGAGGAGGAGCAGTAGGATGGAGTCCATGGAAGTTGGGGTGGAATTGAATCCATGGAAATTGAAGGAGCAGTGGGATGGAGTCCATGGAAGTTGGAGTGGGATTGAGTCCATGGAAGTTGCAGGAGCAGTGGGATTGAATCCATGGAAGTTGGAGTGGGATTGAATCCATAGAAGTTGGAGTGGGATTGAATCCATAGAAGTTGGAGTGGGATTGAATCCATAGAAGTTGGAGTAGGATTGAATCCATGGAAGCTGGAGTGGGATTGAATCCATGGAAGCTGGAGTGGGATTGAATCCATGGAAGTTGGAGGTGGCCACAGCAGGTCGAGCACAATTCCTGGGATGGGCTGATCCAGGTTATTGCGTGCTCCTGGTTCCTGGGGTGATCCCAACCCTGTCCCTCTGGAAAATGTGAGCGGCTGGGATCTGCCAAGCTGATCCCACATTTTCCCTGGAAAACTTCCTTGTGGCTCTGGGAGAATCCTCTGGCTCAATTCCAAAGAGGTTTTATCCCGAGGAGAAACAGCTGGAGCCAACACAAGATTCCATCTGGGATAAGAGGAGCTGTTCCCGGTAATTCCCGCATCCTGCTTTTTTTCCTGCTGGATCATTCCCAGGGTGATGGATCCTTGTCCCTCTGCCGGGATCTGCTGCTTCCCACTGCTCCCTGCTCCTCCCTCAGGATTTTCCACCTGCAGGAGCTCCATTCTGGAGCAGCTGGAAAATTCCTGGATTCCTCCTCCATTCCCAGCTTTCTTCCTGCTCCTTGGCTCTCCTGCTCCATGCTGGGATGCACCTCTGGATTCCCTCTGGATTCCCTCTGGATTCCCTCTGGATTCCCTCTGGATTCTCTGGTGGGAAAACACCTGGGCTGGGGGCCCAACCATCTCCCTGTAGGGAATTTTTGGTGGTTTCCCCTATTTTTCCTTGGATGGGAGATATCCGAGTGCCCCCCACCCTTGTCCTGGGGAAAAATAGTTCTGGAAAAGCCGTGGGAAGATTCCATCAGGGAATTCTGGAATCCCTGGAAGTGCCCAAGGTCAGGTTGGAGGGGCTTGGAGCAGCCTGGGATAGTGGGAGATGTCCCATGGAATGGGATGGATGGGATGATCCTTAAATTCCTTTGCAACCCCAATTGTTCTGGAATTCCCTGATTCCTTGGAATATCTGGAATGCCCTGTAGATGTCAGCAGATCTCCGTGCACAGCACTGCTGTGTCCAGCTCTTCCCGACAGCTGGAATCCGGATAAAGCCAGACCTGCATCCCTGACTGGGATGCTGCCAGCTGGAATTCTCATCCATGAATCCATGGATCCATCCATCATCCATCCATCCATCCATCCATCCATCCATCCATCCATCCATCCATCCATCCATCCATCCATCCATCCGTCATCCATCATCCATCCATCATCCATCCATCATCCATCCATCCATCCATCATCCATCATCCATCCATCATCCATCCATCGTCCATCCATCCATCCATCCATCCATCCATCCATCCATCCATCCATCCATCCATCATCCATCATCCATCCATCCATCCATCCATCCAT